AAGACTTAGATGAACTTTTTACATGATCAAAACGATGTGACCATATTGGAAAAGCTGGATTCCAATCTCTCAGCTATTTCTCTCTGTATTTGATGCTGCCTGTCATTCTGGCTGGCTGCTATGGTGGCTCATTCTACAGAAAATGTTCTGAAATGCAATAGCATTTTTTAAATGCTAACTTTAACACTCAGCCCACTTAGTTTCTGTATTTGAGTCTTCAGAACCACCTCCTGTTTCCATGGCACCTACGCCCATTAGCTGACATCATCCCCCACACTGAGTTTGGCCTGTTTTGATCAGGCCCTTTCAGAAACACGCTGGCTCTCATAAACCAATTTATGGCTTTGCAGACCACTGAGGAAGGCGTGGTGCAGCGTGTGGAAAGACGAGAGGCTTTGGTGTGAATTAGACCTGGGTTTGAGGTCTAATTCTTCAACATTAATTCAGTAAATATTTATTGAAGGGCTCTTACGTGCCAAACCTTGTATTAGACATTGTGTGATGTGGGGCAGGTCACTCAACTTCTCTAAGCCTCAGTTTCCTCTTGTGTTAAACTAAAATAATACACCCTTCCTTGTAGAGTTGTTCTAAGAATTAGAGACATGCTCCAAAAATGCCTTGGCACATAGTAAGGGACCAGTAAATGGTGGCTGCTATTACTTTCATTGGAAGCTGGGCTGCAAGTATCCTGTAGATGGAGTATGTTATCATTAAATCGACAAATGGGAAACCAGTCAGAAAAGAGACACAGACAGATAGAAAGACAGACAGTTAAGACATAGCCAGAAAGACAAGAAAGAGAAAAGAGAAAATTCCTGAGCAAATATCTAATTTATCATCTTTGAGGAAAAACCTACAAGGAAAAAAAATTATATGTGTGTGTGTGTGTGTGTATAGGAGCTCTGGTAGCATAGTGCCTAAGGCACTTGACTGCTAACCAGAAGGCTGGCGGTTCAAACCCACCAGCCACTCCTTGGAAGGAAGATGGGGCAATCTACTTCCGTAGTGATACAGCTTCGGAAACCCAAGGAGGGGTCACTATGAGTCCCACTCGATGGCTTATAACAACACACACACACACACACACACACACACACACACACACACACGATAGCTGACTTTCTTAGAGTCCTCAAACATCAGAAGCAGAAGGAACTCAGCCATTGTCTAGTTCAGGGTTCCCGTCTCTCATTTACAAAGGAGGAAACAGGCTGAGGGCGGAGGGGAGGTTTGCTCTATGACTCACAGGCTTTCAGAACCAGACCTCCTCATTCCATGCCCGCCATCTCGACAAGGCAGTAGAATCAAAAAACACATTTTTAGAACGCAGCCAAAGGTTAGTGAGATGCTGATTCTTCCAAAAGAATGTTATTCTACTTGGCTAAATGAGCAAAGGAATGAAAATTTTCAAGACTCTTAAGGACTTCTGCGTGTTGTTTCAGCCCCCTGCTGGTGAGAGAGAAGTTCAGACTCCAGGGACCTGAATGGGTGAAATCCCAAAGGTTAAGGGCGGGCCTGTCAGCAAGGAGCCAAGTGGAATTTTCCAGATGGGAGAAAAAAAGAGACACAGAATTTAGGGAAGGGGGTGGGGTGGAGAGAATCCAAGAATGCTAATAACACACTGAGAGCTCTGGTGGCATAGTGCCTAAAACAGTTGACTACTAACCAGAAGGCTGGCGGTTCAAACCCACCACCCGCTCCTCGGAAGGCAGGTTGGGCAATCTACTCCCGTAGTGATACCGCCTGGCCTCGGAAACCCAAGGAAGGGTCACTATGAGCTGGAGACAACTCGATGGCACATAACAACAACAACAGCAATAACAAACTGTTAAAGGAAGTTTGAAAAAAAAGGTCTCATCTCAAAGGCAATTCAATTTATTAGACTCCGGTTTATTTTTCCTCTTTTGTTATTTGAAGGAAGTGGTTATTTTAGGGAGTAGGGCTGATGAAGGGATAGAAAACAGTATTTACGATCTTTGAATTGTGCATTTTTATTCTGTTTTTAAGAACACATTTTTTAATTAAAATTTTTTTGGTTCAGTGCCGCAATATAAGTCCAGACGAAATCGCTTTAGCCCAGACGTGGGTTTAGTACTTTCAAGCGCGTTCTTAACAGTCAGTGCACAGCAGAGACGGTGCTTGGCTCCTTAGATAACACTGCCCCCTACTGTTCATAAAGACAAATGCACCAGCAAGACTACCAACTCAGTCTTACAAACCAAAATCAAACCAAACTCACTGCAGCGGAGTCGGATTCTACTCATAGCGACCCCTCCTTACGTTTCCAAGGCAGTATCTCTACGGAAGCAGATTGGCCAATCTTCCTATGAGCCCCAATATAAGGCTAAAATTCAGAGAAAAACAATCTCTAAGACAATGTCATTACCTTTTTATCACAAAATCTCTTGGTTTGACTATTAAAGCCTTTTCTTTCTGAATTTGGACTTTCCAGAGTCTGAACTCTAAAAGGAATGGAGGATTGTGTTGGATATGCAGCAGTAAAACCTAAACAACAAAAATAAAACAAAAATCAGCACAAAACAATGCATTGGGACATGTAGGAAACACAGAGCTGTATATTAAAGTTTCATTTTAAATATAATAAAACAGAAATTTGCTTTTTGACAGGAGGTAAATATGAAACTGGGGTGTTTTTTTGTTTGTTTGTTTGTTTATTTGTTTTAAGTATTCTTTATTTTTCCCCCCACCTTGCTAATTTATTCGGCTCTCCTCTCCTCTAGCTTTTAAACTAGCGTGAGACTTGGTCACATACCTAAAAGTATTGTCCCAGGAAAGGAGAAGGACGCAATAGGGGAGATGTTCTTGCCAGGCAGGAAGGCCACCCGGAAGACCAAGGACTCAGGGAGCAGCCTGTAAGGGAGCGGACAGGGGACAAGAGCAAGCATCTCCCTTCCCCTCGGCCCAGGTCACGTCAGCCACGAAGACTAAGACGCAGCGAGGTCAGGGAAATCCTAAGGAGGGGCTTGCTCTCACTTTTCAAGGTACTTTTTCACCACAAGTAAAAGTTTAAATTTCTGCTAGGAGCAGATATGAGGTTAACAAGCAGGAGGGGATCGTTTATAGAGCATCAAGTTAAAATCTGTATGTATCTGGGCTGCGATGTATAAATGATATGTAAATTCACCTCCCCGTACTGCCCTCACACACACACACACACACACACACACACACACACACACACACACACGAGAGACTGTCCGGGACAGCTGGGACTCCACAGCAGCATCTACCTGCATGGAAGGCTGACTGCAGCCTCTAACGTGGGACTAGAAGGGTGTCTGGCTCCATTTTTTGACGTCTGAGTGCTGACACCTTTAGAGCTTCACCCCTCCCTCTTTGCCTTCTGCCCCGTGTCTGAGCAAGCTGATAAGAAAGCCCATATGCTCCCTCCTTTGGTGCCAGTTGGAAGTTGAAACCATGTAAGCAGCTGCCCTCACCCCAGTAAAAGCCTCAAGTCAGCCCCCAGTCCCTGCTTGCTCAAGTCAATTTCTGAGGTTGGGAAGCTTCTCCTGTTTTCCCCAGAAAGCCTCATTACGTGAATAAAAAACCCTTTCATGTACTCTTGGGGTGTGTTTGACATCATGAGCCTCAGTTGAAATTTTGAGTGGGGTCCATCCAGACTCTGTGGATGACTACAAGAGTAAGCCAAGTTATCTTGACATGAGAGTCCTAATTCTGAGAGGAAATATGTGCATAAATTGGAAAAACGATACCAAGCGAAGGAAAGAAGATATGCATTGGGGGCAGGGGGTTGTTGCATGGAAAATATTGTCAGGGCCCATTTCTTAGTCTCAGATTTAAAAAAGGCAAACAAACTGCTTTTCGGAGAGGGAAGCCTAATGCCAACAGGAGCTCTTCAGACTGAGGGGATACTATCACAAGCCAAGTTTACAGGTGAGGGAACTGAGGCTTGGAAGAATTAAATGACTCATCCAACTCACACAGCTAGGAACTGGAGGAGCTGGGGTTTGAACTCCATTTGTCTAATGAGTCTACGTTCTTAAGCTCTGAAGTGTGCTTCTTCTCCATGAGCCTGGCTCATTGTACCTCACGACCCACTGCCATCAAGTCGATTCCACTCATAGTCACCCTGTAGGACAGAGCAGAACTGCCCTACAGTGTTTTGAAGGCTGGAAATCTCTGTGAAAGCAAACTGTCTCATCTTTCTCTCTCGGAGCACTGGTAGATTTAAACTGCTGACCTTTTGTTTAGCAGCCGAATGCTTTTAACCACTGCACCACCAGAGGAGCTCCTTGGCTTATAGTAAATTCTCAATAAGTGAGTGAATGAAATTATAAGGTGAAGGACAATCTAGCTTGATTTGCCTTGAGTTGAAGATGGGACAAGTCAAAGAAGCTAGAGATATGTTTGGTTAGAAAATATATGGAGCTATCAATATATGGTATGTTTATCTTTTCTTCACCTTCCTCTCCCCCATTTAGTGGGTGGCTTGCTATGCAATTTTTGCATTAGGGGAGGGGCACAGCAAAACAGAAAGTCAAAGTAGCTGCTAGTATTCTTAGCTTTTATTCCTAATAGCCTACATCCATAGAAAAACTGAGAGGGTTTGCAAAGCAGGCAAAACAGAAGAAAAGGTCAGAAAGAAGGTAAAAGGAAGGACATTCCCCTGGGAGAAGGGAAGGTTTCTCCTGGACTGAAAATGAGATCATATACTTTGACTGTGGCATTGGTGGAATGGCATGTATCAGAACAACCCTTTTGATGACAACAACCAAAGATATCAAACCAAAAACCAAATTCACTGCCGTCAAGTCAATTTTGACTCATAGTGACCCCTCCTTGGGTTTCCAAGGCAGTATCACTACGGAAGTAGATTGCCCAGGCTCCTTTCGGAGGAGTGGCTGGTGGGTTTGAACTGCCAGCCTTATGGTTAGCAGTCAGATGCCTTAGGCATTATGCCACCAGAGCTCCTAACCAGAGATATACGATTTATAAAAACCTCTGGATGACTGGATGTCCACTTTCAGCCAAGATGGGGTAACAGAGACAAGATTCACCCTCCTACCTGGAAAAAAAAAAAAAAAACACTAAAACGATGAACAAAATATATGTAACGGTGGTTTTCAAGATATTGGATATCAGTCAACAAAGAAGTGGGATCCTGGAGAGATGGGAACCAAATGAAGTTAGCAGTAAATTTGCCCCCAGCTCATTGCCTGGAGAAAGTTTCTAGGCTACAGAACAGGAATTGGGAATCCAGATGGATCCTGGAATCTTGAGTTGATGAAATAGGTCAGAGAGTCAAGAAAGGCCCAGAAGCAATCAGCCCTAGGACACGATGGCCCTTGAGACCAGAAGAACTAGATGGGGCCCAGCTACCAATGCCAACCACTCAGGAAAGGATCAAATCTGGAGATGCTGGATAGAGTGGGAGGGAAAACGTGGAACAAAATCCAAAAACTCAATGACCAGAACTACTTGTCAGATGAAATCTAGCGAGACCCCCAATGCTATGGTCTTGGAATACATTCTGTGCCTAGAATAAAACTCACCCCCAGGGGCGGGCTCTCAGCCCAATAGTTAACAAGATGTACACGCAGACCACTCAACCCAGGATGACGTACCCACATACTCTATGGTAATACATCCCTTGGAGCAGTAGACCATGAGACACCAGAGGACCAACATTCAGGTTGAGGAAATGCAGGACAAACAGGAGTGCATAAATATGAGGGGCACAGGGGGAGGGTTGCAGGGTAGGGAGGGGAGGAGACTGGGTTAGGGTCAGACATGGCAAATGGGGAATGAAACTAAATGTACACGTTACGTTGAATGTAAAACAAGCTCTTTAAAAAAAAAGAAAGAAAGAAAGGCCCAGAAGTTAGATCACAGAGCAGAGTACCAGAGAAGAGAAGGCTACACAGAGAAAGAGCTCCGGAGACCTACACAGGCTTCTCATCAAGCAATTACCTGAATACTAATCAGTGCATACTTGGGAGAAAAGTACCCAAAGCTGAGGAAAGAATCATCTAAAAGGATTAGAGTGAGCAATACCTGAGGCTCACACAGCACCAGAAATATTTCCTATTCCCATGAGTCAGAGTGGAAAGATCTTATAATTTATGGAACATCAAGTAGAGAACACAAAATATTTTTGTACCAGTAATAGGGCAAAATTATCCCTAGACTAAATACTGCTCTGGTCCCAACTATCAAAGCTTGAAAACAAAGGGCCAAAAGGATCAAACTGCCTCCAAGCAATTTAACTGTCTCCCAGCGTAACGCACAAGAATATTTATAGAATGCAAAAATATACAGCACCCAACAAGATAAAATTAAAAACATCTACTAGCCAATAAAAAATTAACAGACATGCAGAGAAGGAAGAAAATACAATTCAAAATGAGGAGAAAGTAATAAATCAAAATAGAAATGATACAGGTGATAGAATTAATAGACAAGAAAATTATAATTGCTAATATAATTATATTCCATATGCTCATAAAACTTGAGGAAAAAATTACACATTTTAAGAAGAGACATGGGAGATATGAAAACTTCTAGAGATCAAAAGTAGGATGTCTGAGATTAAAAATACACTTTATAGGGTCAACAGCAGATGAGACAGAAAGACTAGTAGAAATAAAAGACTAGTGAACTTGAAGACATAGCAGTAGAAAGCATCCAAAATAAAGCACAAAATAAAAAGACTGAAAAATACAGACTATCAGTGAGCTGTGGGAAAATTTCAAGCATCCTAACATACCTTTAATTGAACTTTCCAGTTAAGAAGGAGAGTGAGGACAGAAAGAACAGAAAAATATTTCAAGAAAAATTGGCTGAAAATTTTCCAAATTTGATGAAAACTACAGACTCCCAGATCTAAGAAGATTAATGAAGCTCAAGCATGAGAAACATGGAGAAACCATACCAAGATATATCACAATTAAATTGCTTTTAAAAAGTGATTAATTCTTTTTTAATTAAGTAAAGTGACAAACAGAAAAATGACAGCAGACTTCTCATTGGAAACAACACAAGCCAGGCAACAATGGAGCAAAATCTTTAAGGTAATGAAAGAAAGAAAGAACAAAAAACTGTGACCCTACAATTCTATACACTGTGAAAATATCTTTCAAAAACAAAGGTAAAGACAAGACTTTTAAGGACATACAAAAGCTGAAAAGAATTCATTACCAACAAACTGAAATTACATGAATTGTTAAAGAAATCCTTCAAGCTAAAGAAAAATGGTACCAGTTTGAAATACGGATCTGCATGAGGGAAGGAGGCACTATTTAAAAAAAAAAAAAACTATGTGGATAAGTATATGACTATAAATTGATCGATATAAATATAAATTTCTAATTATTTTAAAGATAACTTACTATTTAAGGCAAAAAGAATAGCAATGTGTTGTGAGCTTCTAACATGTAAAAGTCAAATACTTGACAATAATATCACAAAGGCCAGGAAGGGAAAAATAAAAATATACTGTTCTTTCTAAAAGAGCCTGGGTGGCATAAGTGGTTTGCAATCAGCTGTTCACATAAGGTTAGTGGTTTGAACCTACCCAGAGGCTGTGAACAAATCTGTCCTAGAAGACGTGCAGCCAGAATGCTCCTTGGAAGTAAGAATGGCCAGACTTCATCTCACCTACTTTGGTCATGTTGTCAGAAAGGACCATTCCCTGGAGAAGTATGTCATACTTGGTAAAGAAGAGGGTCAGCAAAATAGGGGAAGGCCCTCAATGAGATGGGCTCAAGCATAGCAAGGATTGGTGAGGGCGGTGCAGAACTAGGTGGTGTTTTGGTGTTTTCGTTCTGTTGCACACAGGGTGGCTGTGGCCCGGAGCCAACCCGACGGCACTCTACAACAACAACAGAGGCTGTCGGGAAGAAAGGCCTGCTTTTGTAAAGATTACAGCCAAGAAAACCCCAGGGAGCAGGTCTACTTTGTAATACGCAGGGTTGCTGTGAGTCAGGGGCTGACTCGATGGCAGCTAACAACGACAACAACAAGGTCCCTTCCAAAACATGTGACTTGATGGTAAACTGTGATAAGTTAAAGATGTGTACTATAAACTCTAAAGTGTTGTTGTTGTTGAGTCGGCCCCACTCATAGCAACCCCTCCTTGGGTTCCGAGGCAGTATCACTATGGAAGTAGATTACCCAACCTTCCTTCTGAGGAGTGGCTGGTGGGTTTGAACCGCCAGCCTTCTGGTTAGCCTTAGGCACTATGCAACCAGAGCTCCTAAACTCTAAAGCAGGAATCTGTAAACTTTTCCATAAAGGGTCAGATAATAAATATTTTAGCCTTTGCAGACTACACAATCTCTGTCACAACTAGTCAATGCTTCCATTATGGAATGAAAGCAGCCATAGACAATACATAGACATGTTGTTGTTGTTGTTGTTAAGTGCCGTCGAGTCATTTCTGAATCATAGCGACCCCATGCACAGCAGAACGAAACACTGCCCGATCCCGCGCCAGCCCCACAATCCCCGCTATACTTGAGCCCATCATCGCAGCCACTGTGTCAATCCATCTCGTTGAAGGCCTCCCCCTCT